GGGGCACACCTGGGCCAGGTCAGGGGCTCAGGGCACACCTGATGTGGGGCAGGGGCTAGGGGCACACCTGGGCCAGGTCAGGGGCTATGGGGCTGGGGGCACAGCTGGTGTGGGGCAGGTGGTGGGGCAGACACTGGGCAGGCGTGGGGCAAAGCTGGGACACACTGGGCAGGTGTGGCACCAGCATGGGCAGGTGAGCAGCAGCCAGGGAGGCAGGTCGGGGTGGAGCTGGGGCAGGTGTGGCACCAGCACAGGTGGCAGGCATGGGACAGGTGTGGGGACAGAGGCAGACCTGGAGCAGGTGTAGGAGAGGAAAGTGGACAGGTACAAAGCAGGTGTGGGGACAAGCGAGGGGCAGATGTGGCAGCAGGTGGTGGAACAGGTGCAGGGCACGAAGTGAAACGGGGACACAGAACAGGTACAGGGCAGAGAGTGGAACAGATGTGAAGACAGGTGAGGGAACACACAAGGACAGAAATAAGGGAACAGGTGAGGAGACAAGTAAAGGGGCAGGAACAGAGACACAAAATGGAACAGGTGCATGAACAGGAAACGGAACAAACACAGGTACAGGGCAGGTGTGGGAGCAGCACAGAGACAGCTGATGGGACAGCCAGAGGACAAGTGAGGTGACAGAGGTGAGGACAGGTGCTGGACAGGTGAGGGACCTCACTCATGGCCTTCATGAGCAGCACGTGCAGCGTGATGTTGGTGAGAGAATACACAAAGAAACAGGTGAGGGAGCACATAAAGAGATAGACAAGGAGACAGGTGACAAGTGTAGGACAGGTGACAACACAGGTAAGCCCCACTCACATCCTCGATGAGCAGAGTGTGCAGTGAGGGAATACACAGGAGGAGAAGCGAGAGGGCAGAAAAAGGGATACACAAGGAGACAGGTGACAGGTGCAGGACAGGACAAGTGACAGGTTCACGACAGGACAGGTGACAGGTTCAGGACAATACAAGTGACAGGTTCAGGACAGGACAGGTGACAGGTTCAGGACAGGACAGGTTCAGGACAGGTGACAGGTGCAGGACAATACAAGTGACAGGTTCAGGACAGGACAAGTGACAGGTTCAGGACAATACAAGTGACAGGTTCATGACAGGACAGGTGACAGGTTCAGGACAGGACAGGTTCAGGACAGGTGACAGGTGCAGGACAATACAAGTGACAGGTGCAGGACAGGACAAATAACAGGTTCATGACAGGACAGGTGACAGGTTCAGGACAGGACAGGTAACAGGTGACAGGTTCAGAACAGGACAGGTTCAGGACAGGTGACAGGTGCAGCCCAGCACAGGTGAGCCCCACTCACGTCCTTGATGAGCAGAGCGTGCAGCATGACGTCGGTGAGGCCGTTGTCCTGCAGCGAGGACAGCAGCGAGGGCTCCTGGAACACGAAGACCGTCACCACCTCGGTCGCTGCGGCGGAGGAGAGAGGGGGGCACTGAGGGCAGGTAGAGCACCTGGCGGGGTCCCCGCTCCGTGCCCGCCCCGCGCTGCCCAGGTGGGGCCGGGGCGTGGCTCACCCAGCAGGAACAGCGAGGGGCCATAGTACTCGGCGTTGCTGATGATGTGCTTCAGCGAGGTGGGCAGCGAGCCGTCCATCACTGCGGGGACACGCGTGGTCAGTGCCACCACCCCTGCCACCCCACCCCGGCGGGGGTCTGGGGACATCGGGGACCACCCACCGTGCCGGATGCCGTCGGAGAAGGCGGGGTCTTGGATGGCTTTTTTGAGGAAGTTCAGCATGGATTTGAGCAAAGCGGCGCGCTGGGGGATGCACTGCACGCCTAGGGGGGGACACGGGGAGAGGATTGGGGGGCACATGAGGAAATTGGGGTGTTCCCAGGGAGCAAACCAGATGTGAAAAAGGATTTGGGGTCTTCATGGAGGGGGGAATTGGAGTGTTCACATGGGGAAGGAACTGGGGTGTCCATATAGGGATGGAATTAGGGTGTCCGTGTAGGGAGAATTGGGGTATCCGCATAGGGACAGAATTCGGGTGTCCATACAAGGAAGGGATTGGGGTGTCCATGTAGAGATAATTGGGGTATCCACACAGGAAAGGAATTGAGGTGTCCATAAAACAGGAATTAGGATGTCCATTTAGGGAGGGAATTGGGAGTATCCATGTAGGAGGAATTTGGGTGTCGTATAGGAGGATTTGGGGTGTCCATACAAGAGAAATTTGTGTGCCTGCATAGCAAGAATTGGGGTGTCCACATAGGAAAAATTTGAGTGTCTGTATAGGAGGAATTCGGGTGTTCATATAAGAGGAACTGGAGCATCCACATAAGGAAGGAACTGGGGTCCAGTGAAGTCCCCGCTGTCCCCACCGTGTCCCCAGCCCCGGGAGGCACCTACCGCCGCGCGGGGAGGGGGTGGCAGCGCTGGTGCTGGGCACGGCTGGCGGGGCTGGTGGCACCGGGTCTGGCCGGGCCTCGGCCGAGGGGCCGGGGCTGCTCTCCATGGCCACATCGGTCACTGCGGGGGGACGGTGACATTGCAGGGGGAACAGGTGACACCACAGCGGGGACACTGCTGTTCCCACCGCTGCTCCCACCCCGCTGCTCACCCTCCATGTCCGTCTCCATGTCCTCGCCCTCGGGCAGGGTGGCAGCAGGCGGGCGCTGCACTTTGGGCTTGATGACAAAGGGACACTCGCGACGGCACAGGTCCACCTCGTGCTGGGGGAGACAGAGCCTCAGCACCCCAAATCACCCTGAGGGACCCCAAAAGCAGGGCAGGGGAAGGGGGGCAGCACCTCGAGGCGGTAGATGAAGATGGACAGCCCGCTGTGCGACTGGAAGGCGGCCATGTCCAGGTTGGTGATGAGATCCACCACCCGCACCGCCCGTGTGACGAACGTGATCTGGTCCTGCTCGTCCCCCAGGAACTTGATCACCTGGCGAGGGGACAGACGCAGGTGAGGCAATCCCCGAGGCACCTGAGAGTTGCCCACAGGTGACAAGAGCTCACCTTGAGCAGCGCCTCCATCATGCCGCACGACACCAGCGCCTCGCCGCCCGCGTCGTAGCTGGCCAGGTGGTACAGGAAGGAGAAGAGCGCCGTGGCGAACTGGTGGGGGTAGGGCTCCATGGAAGGGTCTGGGGGTGTACAGGTGTGGTTAGGGCGGGTCACACCCCCCAGGTGACCCCCCCAGCCCCCCGGCACGCACCGATCATGGCCTGGATGCAGTTGCGCACCAGCACGGGCAGGAAGCCGTGGTAGGAGGCGGTGCCGGTGCAGTCGATGATGCTGCTGAGCTTCGGCGTGCGCTCCAGGTGCACGATGGACGTCAGCGTCCGCAGGGAGGCTGCCTTGATGTCCTGGCAGGGACAGATGAGGGACACGTAAGGGACACACGTGTCCTTGATGAGCAACAGGTGCAGCGTGACATCAGTGAGGGGATACACTGGGGACAGGTGGTGTGACAGGTGAGGAACAGGTGTGGGACAGGTGAGGGACACTCATGTCCTTGATAAGCAGCATGTGCAGCGTGATGCTGGTCAGGAGATACACAAGGGCACGGGTGATGTGACAGGTGAAGGCACAGATGAAGATACAGACACAACACACGTGAAACGACAGGAGCACAAGAGGTGTAGGAACGTACAGGACGGGTTAGGTGACAGATGTGGGACAAGTGAGGTGACACATGCAGAACAAGTGAGGTGACAGCTGCAGGACAGGTGAGCCACATTCAGATCCTTGGTGAGCAGCACGTGCAGCACCACATCAGTGAGGGAACACACAAAGGGACAGGTGAGGGGACACACAGGGAGACAGGTAAGGGGTACACACAAAGGGACAGCTGAAGGGACAGCTGAGGGGACACACAAGGGGACAGATGAAAGGAGTCACAAGGGGACAGCTGAGGAAACAGGTGAAGGGGACAGATGAAAAGACAGATGAAACAACAGCTAAAGGGACAGGTGAGAGAACAGGTAATGGGACAGATGCAGGAACAGCTGAGGGGACACACAGGGACATACAGAGGGACAGCTGAGGGGACAGGGCTCCCAGGTCTCACCATCAGCTGCTTGTCGGTGATCTGCAGCACGTCCACCAGCTCCTCGATCAGCCCGTTGTACAGGATGCTGTTGGCCGACTCCTGCAGCGCGTTGGAGTACACTGCGGAGACGGGGGGGTCACCCCAACTGCCCCAGGACCCCCACAGAACGGCCCCCCAAAGCCACCCCCCAATTAAAACAAGCCCTAACGAAGGCCCACCCAGGATGGAGATGGCGTGGAGCCGCGCCTGCACCGCCTGCAGCCGCTTCTTGTGGTTGGAGAAGCCGTGGGCCAGGCGGATGTGGGTGAACAGCAGCATCTGAAAGGGGGACAGAGAATTTGGGGGGGTCAGGGAGGGTCTGGGGGTCACCCCACAACCCTCGATGTCACCCCACGCACCTGTTTGTCCTTGGGGATGCTGTACATCTTGGTCAGGGACTCCATGATCTCCGAGGGGCTCTCTGAAATCTGGGGGAGAAGAAAAAGAGAAATAGGGAGGGGCAGAAGCAGAATTGGGGTGCAGGAAACAAAACTGGGAGGGGACAAAACTGGGGTGTGGACAGACAAGACTGGGGGGCAGAGAACAACCTGGGGTGCAGGGGACAAAATGGGGTTCAGGGGACAAAACTGAGGATCAGAGGATAAAACTGGGGTGCGGAGGGTCAAGATTGAGTGCAGAGAACAAAATCGGGGGGCAGAGGACAAAACTGGGGAGCAGGGAACAAAAGGGCAGTGCAGGGCATGGGGGAGCCCTGGCCCAAGCAGAGACCCCCCCCCCAAATCAAGGTGCCCCCACGCTCACCTTGTCCAGCTGCTCGATGTGGATGTAGTGCAAGGTGGTGCTGGTGGCCTGCGGGGGTCACAGGAGGTCAAGGGGTGGCCCCGGTGCTTTGGGGGCCTCCTCGTGACCCCAAATGTCCCAAATGTCCCCAGTGTCACTCACCCTCTTGTCCACCTTCACCTCGACGCCTGGCTCGGCGTAGAACTCAAAGTGCAGGGTGGTGGCACTGGGGGGGTATTTCTGGGGAGGGGGATACAGGGGTGAGATGGGGAGAGCAGGGTCCCCTCCCCTGGGGGGACACAACCAGACTGGGGGACACAGGGAAAGGGGTGGGGGGATGCAATAGGGGTGACAAAGCGGTGCTGGGGGGCATGGGAGGTGACACGGAGGGATAAGACAATGCTGAGGACACCCTGAGGGGACAACAGAGAGCACTGGGAACCCCAGGATGGCATCAAGGGGCCTCAGGATGTGACAAAGGCACACAGCATCATGTGTGTGCCCCAGGACAGGACAGGAGGACACAGGTGAGTTCTGGGGACCCCCAAAACAGGACAAAGTGACACAGGTGAGCTCTGGGGACCCCCCAAGACAGGACAAAGTGACACAGGTGAGCTCTGGGGACCCCCCAAAACAGGACAGGAGGACACAGGTGAATTCTGGGGACCCCCAAAACAGGACAAAGTGACACAGGTGAGCTCTGGGGACCCCCCAAGACAGGACAGGAGGACACAGGTGAGTTCTGGGGACCCCCCAAGACAGGACAAAGTGACACAGGTGAGTTCTGGAGACCCTCAGAACAGGACAAGGTGACACAGGTGAGTTCTGAAGACCCTCAGAACAGGACAAAGTGACGCAGGTGAGTTCTGGGGACTCTCAGAACAGGACAAGGTGACAAAGGTGACTTCTAAGACCACCCAGGACAGAACATAGGTGACACACATGAGCTCTGGCGACACCCAGGACAGAACAAGGTGACCCAGACGAGCTCACGGTGACCCACAGGTGCCACTCACCATCATGTGCAAGTCCCGACAGCACTCAGCCAGCCCAAATCCATTCTCCTTTCCACCCCAGCTCTGCAGGGAGACCAGCCCAGCTCAGCCCCGCCCTGCTGAGCCCCAAATCCCTCAAAACCCTCCCAAAAACCCCCCAAAAAACCCCACCCACCTCGGCCAGGTGCTGCAGGCGGGCCAGCAGGGGCCCACGGCGCTCGGAGCCCAGGCGGGTGATGTAGTTGGAGCGTTTGCTGAACACGTAGAGCAGGTTGAGCACGGCCAGCACCACGTGCATGTCCGAGGAGGCCAGCAGCGTGGTCAGGTGCTGCGGGGACAGGACAGGCGTGTCAGCGTGTCACACGCCTGGGGACACGCGGAGGGCGGGTCTGGGGGCGTGCCCACCTCGATGGAGCTGTAGAGGTGGCGGGAGAAGCTGTACTCGATGAGCAGGGCCGTGAAGTTGAGCAGGGCCAGCAGCAGGGCCTTGAGGGGCTGGCGCTCGGGCCGGTCGCAGGCCAGCATCCAGCTCATGGCCTCCACCGGCCGGCCCGCCTCGGCCAGCAGCGCGTCGAAGCGGTCCAGCAGGTCCACCCAGTGGTACAGCTCGCACTGGGGGGGGTTATGGGGGAGATGTGGGGCTGGGGGCACAGCTTGGGACCCCATGAGCCCCCCAGGAACCCCCCACATCCACCCAGTGGTACAGCTCGCACTGGGGGGGGTTAGGGGGGAGATGTGGGGCTGGGGGCACAGCTTGGGACCCCCTGAGCCCCCCACATCCACCCAGGGGTCCAGCTCGCACTGAGGGGGAGGTTATGGGG